AGTTCATGGCGGGTAATGTTAGGGATGCAGAAAGAGATTGTATGTAAATAATAATTTTTTTCTGATACCTGCTTAATTACACTTCCAGTTAAATGAAAGGTAGGACAGTGTGGTGTTTTGAGGATTTTGGAAAGAGGCCAGAAGATGGCAGTGAGAGTTCCCAGGGCCCTGAATACACTGTGTCTGCCCTGAGCAGCCTCAGCAAAGGCCTGTGCCCAGAAGCCCTGGTTCAGCTTAGCCCTGAGCCATCAGTCCCTGCCTTGGCCATGCCATGGGTATAGCCTTGCCACCAGCCCAGCCTTTGGCCAGGTCTCCTGGATGGACCTTGAACCTATGTGGTAGCCTTGTCCCCACGCCTGGCTCTGGCCCTATCTGCTGCTGCTCCTGTCTGGACTCCCTGGGTGGACCCTGGACTTGTTCCATCTGGATTTACGTGAGGCACTGTGAGTGGACCCTGCTTTGACCAACTTGTTCTCTGTTGGGACTGCACCCTGGTCCCTGAGAGTACAACCTGTTCTGTGGCCATCCTGGCCTTCTTATGCCCTTGCAGAGGCTTCCTGCTCTTGCTGCTCCTAGATAAGAGTTAGTATTAGAAACTGATATTGCTTTTTAAGTCTTTTTCTGTCAAAATAAAAGCCCATGTGAAACTGAAAACTTGAGTTTTAGTGGATAAGAGAGAAGTGCCTTCTTTTTTTTTTATTAAATTGACATAGATTTTACCTTTACAAAGCTATGTTACGTAATTATTCACCATCCCCCCAAGGAAATTTCTCAAACAAAAAACCCCTTGCTTTTGCTGTAGGTTGTGTGTTCTGTGGACAGGCTTATTGAGAAACTCTGTCAGATATGCACTTTGGTAAGTGTTTGATAATTCTCTTACTATTTTGTAGTTGCTTTCAGGCAGCAGAAATGGAAAAGCTCTGTCTCCATACAAGCAAAAATGCCTCCTTGCGATTTTGTACCTGAAAAATATGAAGTAAGTCATACATACTACACTGAATTTAAGTAAGACTGCATTTCTAGATTTGAATGATAGGCTCCTCTGCTATAAATATTCAGTGCATTAAATACGATTTTAAGATGTGCTTGTTTGGGAAAAAAACAATTCTGTTACAACCAAGCTATAACATATATATGTACACCTGTGACAGTTCTATAACTTATGGCTGAATTGTTGTTTTGAAAAACTTTAAGGAAGAGATGTGCAAGCAGTCTTACTTCAAAAGCTGGGTTTCAGAAGTTTGTAGAACCCTCTATGTGACAATTTGTTAAAATCTTATTTCTGTGAACAACCACTGTAGACAGCTGTGTAAACTGTGTGATCCACTACAGCTCCATTAGTCTGGATCTTTAGAAAGCATAAATGGATACTGACCTTTTTATTCCACTCAGTCCTATCCATATGAACGTATGCAGAAGATTCGTGAACAAAATGTTTCTCCATCACTGCGATTGTATTACAAGAAGCCGTTGTTGCTGCATCAAGGATATATGCAGTGGTTGTTTGATTATGAAGGACAAAGATACCTTGATCTCTTTGCTGGAATTGTCACTGTCAGTGTTGGTCACTGTCACCCGTAAGTTTGTTACTGTTTGATTTATATTACAAAACACAGGAAGAGATACCTATGTTGGTTTTGTTCTTTGTTAATCTGTTGCACTACGCATCTAAAACCAGAATATGATTCACTAAATGGTCATGTATGTCTTATATGAAGGTTAATTTCCACTACATGTTTAAGAATTCATTTATTTTGTCTGTGTGTTCATGGATCTGGCAAATGATGCAGTGTCTGCATTTTCAGAATTAATAACAGGTAGGTATGTGTATGCATATGTGCACACATGTGTTCAATTGAATCCCTTTGTCTCTTGTGCTACATGCAGGAAGGTAACTATGGCTACCCAGAAACAGCTCTCTCGCCTGTGGCATACCACTAATATCTACATGCATCCGTCAATCCACGAGTATGCTGAAAAGCTAGCATCTCTTCTTCCAGATCCACTTAAGGTACTTTGCTTCTGACAGGAGCAGGGGCTGGTGAAGGGGATGTCTTGTTTGTAACAAATAATATTAAAATATTTATTAAATAAATGAGCACCACAGTATCTGTCGAGAGAATACCTGTATGGAGACTACAAACTGTCAGATAAAGAGAACATGGTGACCCTCAAGGCCTTTTTAGGCCCAGATGTAGACAAGCATAATAGCCCAAGCAGCTGTTCTGTTTGTTCTCTGCCTCCAGTTGCCACTGTGAAGGGGCATTGCCATCTTACAAATTACTGAGGAAACTAAGATGTTAACTCTTCTTACATCTAGCCAGCCTTAATTTGCTTGATCTCATGAAAATTAACAGTGAAAAGTATTTGACAGTACTTTGTGTAGTGAGGTTTACTGTCATTTAAGAAAATAAACCACGTAAATGTCACATTTATATGCCCAGAAGCAGTAAGAAAAATACTGTTTATTTTCAGGTTTGTTGTCTCCCTCAGTAAATTTACAGATGACACCAAACTGAGTGGGAGAGTTGATCTGCTCGAGGGTAGGAAGGCTTTCCAGAGAGATCTAGATAGGCTGGATCAATGGGCTCTGATCAATTGTATGAGGTTTGACAAGGCCACGTGCCAGGTCACAGCTACAGGCTCTGGGAAGAGTGGCTGGAAAGCTGCCAGGCAGAAAAGAACCTGGGAGTACTGGCTGACAGCCGACTGAACATGAGCCAGCAGTGTGCACAGGTGGCCAAGAAGGCCAACAGCATCCTGGCCTGCATCAGGAATAGTGTGGCCAGCAGAACCAGGGAAGTGATCATCCCCTGTACTTGGCACTGGTGAGGCTGTACCTTGAATATGGTGTTCAGTTTTGGGCTCCTCACTACAAGAAGAACACTGAGGTGCTGGAGCTTGTCCAGAGAAGAGTAACAAAGCTCGTGAAGGGTCTGGAGCACAAGAATTATGAGGAGTGAGAGTTGTTTAGTTTGAAGGAGACTGAGGGGAGACCTTATCACTCTCTGCAACTACTTGAATGGAGGTTGCAGAGAAGTGGGTGTTGGTTTCTACTTCCATATATCTAGTGACAGGACAAGAGTAAATGGCCTCAAGTTGTGCCAGGGAAGGTTTAGATTGGATATTAGGAAAAAATTCTTCACTGAAAGAGTGGTCAAGCACTGGAATAGACTGCTGAGGAAGGTGGTAGAGTCACCATCCCTGAAGTTGTTCAAGAAGTGTGTGGATGTGGCAGTTCAGGACATGGTTTAGTGGGCATGGTGGTGTTAGGTTGATGGTTGGACTTGATGATCTTAGAGGTATCTTCCAACCTTAAAGATTCTATGTTTCTGTGATAAAATAAACTGGTCACAAAATGAAATTGAGTTAGCAGAAGAGTGTGAAGCTATCGCAATCTTTGAAACAGAAGGAGGTTTAAAGAAATTGAAAATGTAAAGCATCTGCATAGTTGAAGCATCAGAGGTTCTCAGTCACTTCTGAAAATTAACTTTAGAAGCAGTGACACTAGAACTTGAGCTGTTTTCATAACATAAAACTTGTATTCAGGATGTTCACTTAATTCTTTTGCTTACAGTAATCTCTGCTTGCCTCTTCTGTTCCATGGCTGTGTCCGTGTATGTCACTCCTAGTAAGTAACATGCAGGGACAATGTAGAGCCCTTTTTACCTGTGTGAAGCTTATTTTTATTCAGTCAGTCATGCTCAGTTTGACTATGATACTTTCATTTTTCTTTGTATCACTGTTCCATCTTAGGAAAACCTGAAGACTCCAAATCTCCAACATTTTCTGTACTTTCCCTGAGTAGGTCGGCTTGATTTTAGTTCTATTCTGCAGTGTATGGACACCACTAAGTTTATTGTAGTGAAGTCACCTTGCGGTAGTGATGGCTTATAGCTTATAGTGTTGCTAAGTGACATGGTCTCATACCAGTCAAGATGATGGTGGTTGTGCACTGTACTGATCCTATGCATTCTCCCATAGGTGGTTTATCTAACCAACAGTGGGTCAGAAGCCAACGATTTGGCTATGTTAATGGCAAGGCTATATACTCGTAACTTCGACATCATCGGTTTGAGGTAATGGTGATAGATCTTTACAAAACTCCTCTGTGTGTGTGATCAGTCTCTATATGCCTAAGAAATAATAGAGGACTCTTCAGCCCCAGATCTGCTGAGGAGAGTGCTATAAAATTATTTTACTTGGCAAGGAGGAGTAAAACAGGAGTTGAAGTTTGATACAGTGTATTAGGATGAGTTTACATATGAAACACAACCTGCCATTTTTGCTTTTGTTACTTAGAAAACGGTGTAGACCCCGTGTTAAGGGTGTGCTTTGGTAGATCTTCATCAGGGCCAAAGCAGGCTTCAGCAATTGCTACTTTCTTCTTTCATTCCACCCCTACAGTGCCCTTCTTTGTGAGGGTACAAAGGTACCTTTGCAATAGTGGTGCAGCAAACCACAGCATGAAGCTGCTCTGGCTGAAAGCTAACCTGGCAGAAAGATTTCTGTGGTATTTTTGTTTGTCTTGCTGCCTTATTTTTCTGCCAGATCCCTGAACCATAGTTCACTGCACAGGTACACAAACAGCTCTTCTGGCTTAACGAGAGAGTTGGCGCAGGAGTAAGTACTATGCAAGCACCACTGTAAGCAGTTCTTCTCTTTACTGTGCATCCCAGGTGGCCTCAAATATTAGAAATAAAAGGTCTTGTTATGAAGAGCTGTATTTTTCTGTTATTCTGTTCAGCAGAACATTGGGTACCCATCTAGCTTGTATATTCTCATTCATGTCCTTTTGAGTTGTGCATAAAACTGGCAGGAAATCACTATGTAGTTTAATGATTGGCAGCATCTGCTGGAGAGAGCAGCAGTTCCCAAGATTCAAAGAACACAGATGTTTTCTCCATAGGGCTCAGGTGCTACAGCAGAACTTTGTGAGCCACTGTGGATTGCTGTTGGTTCTGATCATTGTTTTCTTCTCCTTGCAAACATTACCTCACAGTTTTAACCTTTGAAATTTCAGGAAACCATTGCAGATGAGCAGTCATGGATCTTCCAAAAACAGAGCAAAAAATTGCAGTAGGAATCTTGGGGAATGTACATTTTCCCCAATAATTTGTAGCTCAGACATATACCTTCTCAGAACTGATATTGTTACACCCTCTTCTTGGAAATGAGTGTTCATGTGCTTGCTTTGTTTGCACAGAGGAGGATACCATGGAGGCAGTGCTTGCACGATGGGATTGTCATCTATTGGTCTTTATAAGCATGGTGTTGCCAATGGCCTTGGCTGTCCAACAGTAAGATTTCTATTTACTTTTTTTACTAATCTGCGTAACTAACAGTTTGTTTCATCAATTAGTACATTTTCTATCTTCAAAGTGCTCTCTGTTTACTAACTAAACTGCAATACGCTGCTCCTGGTGTGTAAGCACAAGAGTCAGAATCCCCTTTCCTTCTCTGTATAGTTACATATGCTAATTTGGAGTCGAGACAGCCATAACACGAGTGGTCATTATTTGCAGTACTTCAGTCATGCTTGGTGCTTGCATGGACATCTATGTCAGGTGCAAAATACCAGTGCTCAGAACCCCATTTCTCAAGTTTGTATTGGCAAATCTGTGCAAAGGTACTTTCAGCTGGTCTGAAGTAGATTCTCCCCTCGAATGAAAATAACCTGTGTCCCTCATCTCAGCAAGACAGGAGACTTAGCTGTTAAGGACATCCATTTGAGATAAATGGCAATATGTTACCTCTCTGCCCTTGAGCAGATGAGAATGACTTGCTTGCTTTCTGCTAGAAGATGGCATTGGCTACTCTGACCTGTGCTGTTGATAGCTCAGCCACAGCACTGGCTATAGGAAGGCTTCTTTATAGCAGACTCCCAACCTGGCTCAATACGAGTTGCCTGAAGTCAGGTGGTATTTCATCAGCAATCAGGATTAGAAGGCTGGATTTGCCAATTTCAAGCCTGTAATTACTCATCTAGGTCTGCCTGACTCCCTATATTTTGCAGATTTTAATCGTAGTTTGGATTATTGAAGTACTATCAGCAACTCTAAAAATGTTGCTATTAATCTTAGAGAACCAAAACTGCTGACTAACTTAAAGAAGAAAACAAAGTAAATCATCAAGTGAGTGGCTATCGCTAGAATAGTCTAAAATTGTTGATTCCAAAACTGTCTCTGTTCTACCATTTCTTGCGGGGGAAGTTTTGTACAAATGTTCTTCAGACAGTTTGCTTGAACTAGGTATGTCATTTTTCTCTAACAGGTGCTTTTTAGTTTTTTTCATTAGTCATCCCTAAGCATGATTAAAACTTTTCTTAGAAAGTTATCGTCAAATCTGCAGCTGTATCTCTTGTACTCGACAGACAATGTTACCAGATGTTTTTCGTGGCCCATGGGGAGGCAGCAATTGTAGAGATTCTCCAGTGCAAACTGTTCGGAAATGCAGCTGTTCTAAAGGTTGGTCAAAAACTATTTGGTTTTTAGTTTAGGAAATTCGAAAGGGCTGTGGCAATAGATATTTACCTCCACAAGAAAGATTTGCAAGGGCAACCAAAGAAAATATTGCAGAGGACAACCTCTGACACCTGCTTCCCACTGAGAAAGATTTTGGGCAGATGATACCTCATATACTCAGATTTCTTCTTAAAATCCCAGCTTTTGTTTCTAGCATATGTGGTCATCAACTCTGGAAGCTGTGAAACTCAGTTTAGCACATCCAGAAGAACAGAAACATTGATGGGTGTTTTCTGCTGTTTCTGAAGATTGATTTGCCAGCCTGCCAACTTTTGTTTTGTAATAGTATGAATAGTAGGACAACCTGAAGCCAGTGATCGCAAAAAGTCTTGCTTACACGAGGCAAAGCACTTCATACACAGCACAGCGTGGGAACTGCTCTCCTGTTAACAACAGTTACAGTAATTTTCTTCCACTGTTTCAACAGTGGTTTTTTAATTCACATGCATATGTAACAGAATGTTTTCTTTTTATTTTTGCCTTCCCTAGTGAATGGGAGCATCAGCCATATTAATTGCTCTGATCTTTATTTCAATATAGACTGATACACAGCTGTATTCTCCAGGATCCTCATACCTGCACTAACATAATGATTCCTTGTGTCTTATACTGATGTTTCTTAACCCCTGAGAAAGTGTCTGCTTTTATTCCTTCTGCTGATGTAGGTTATTCAAAAACTTTATTAAACCTACAGCTTACTGACCTGTATAATGTGTAACATCTTGTCATCTGGCAGCTTTGCCTCGCTGTTTTGGATGTTTTAGAGTATAAGGGTGATACTTACCATGCAGTCAGATAATACTTGTTACTTAGATGTGTAATTTAATATTTTGAAGCCACTTTTTTGTCATTTTAAGTAAATTCCCTTTAAACTATTTCCCCTGTAAACAGGTGTATGTCATGCAAATGACCAGTACCTTGAACAGCTCAAAGATACTCTGAGTACCACGGTGCCAAAGACAGTAGCTGGATTTATTGCTGAACCAATTCAAGTAGGTAGTTTGCCATTTCTCAGTTGCAGTAACATATATAATGTGAAACACTTAAATCTGATATTCTTTAACTGCATCCTAAACATAGACTTCTGCTGGGGTTTTGTTTTGTTGGGGTTTTTTTAACGCTTTAAACACCTTAAAGATTTGAAGGAATGGGTGCGCTGTCTTCAAATTTCAGCTTTTGTCACTGATTTCAGTGGAGCTAGAATTTTGCTCATGAAGTTAAATTAAACAGAGAATCTTGATTAAACATACAGATTTTTTCTGCATTTAAATAGCAAGTATGATCCATGCTATTCTTTAGTTTCTAATACCTTCTTCCAAAGTTTGTACTGTTTTTCTCTTCACTGTTTCTGTAAACTTTAACTCAATCCCTCTTCCGCCTCTTCCCAGCCATGTTGTCCACTATATTTTTAGCAGCAGTCCAGCAAGTGGCAGCCACAGGATTTCTCTTAGTGTTTTACCCTAGTTTCAGAACTGCTGTATGTGTGATTCTTAAATTGGAAAAATGGATAAAACATCCCAGAAAAAGGAAAGGCGCACACACACAAAAAAAGTGAGAATTGTGACTGTGGAGAAAACTGGAGCTGTTCTCCATTCTTGCTGTCTTCTAAGCCTTTACATGCTTAAGTAGAAGAAGCTGTTGCAGTCCAGGTGCAGAGTGGAATTTCTGATCCAAATGAAAACTGGCTAGATGAAAAGAAACTGAGGAAACAGTGTTTTAAACAAATTAACAAAAGAAGGGATGTGAATTCTGGCTAATTTTGTCATAAAACAGTTTCTGGGTTTCTCAGTGTGTAGGTTTTAAAGGTACTTGGTTTTGCAGTTACCTTTAATTGACTCTGTTTTACAGTGATCCAGTTTACAGTATGGCCTCACAAACATTTATACCAGCACAACTAATGGAACAGCAAACTGCCCCGTGGAATGGGAATGAGTGACCTGAGCAGGAACTTTATGAAGCAGCTTCACTTCTGAAGCCAGAAACCTGAGACAACAGTCTTGCTATTACCTGAGGGCTGCTGGTATTTTTTTCTTATTGTAGGATAGTCACACAGTGGAAGTTCTGTTTCCTTGTCTGTTCCTGAAGACATTGTCTTTTTTGTCTTGACAGGGTGTTAATGGAGCTATTCAGTACCCAAGAGGTTTCTTAAAGAAAGCTTATCAGCTTATTCGGGAAAGAGGAGGCGTTTGTATTTCAGATGAAGTGAGTTTTGGGTTTTTTTACATAAGAGCTCTAGACTTTGGTGTACTTCTGAAAGTCATCTTAAAAGAATCCAAGTGAAGGCAAACTGGAAGCCTGGAAATGCTATACACTTCATAGCTTAAATTTAACACAGTTTATTTTTCCAAGTGTAGGAGCCTCCCGGTTTATACTGCCTTTATTCTGCTATATGGTATTCTGATTTTAAACACAGGTAACATTAGTAGCAGACTTCAGTCCTTACCTGTGGGAGCAGTAGATTTACATAAATACGTAGCTAATAAATGCCAGCTGTGATGTGAGGTTTGTCACAATAACACTTCCTCTTACAAGTGTTGTTGGCATACATAAACTCTAGAAGGGAGTTGATTGCTGTACCTCTGCAAATACATTTTATAAATAGAATTTGCTTAGCTAAAGCTATTTTGAAATAGTAGCAAACTCTTCTAAGTGACCGTGATATGTACCTCAAGCATTGCAGCAGTAGAAATCAGCAATCATGAGGTTGATTTTGAAATGTGATAAGCAACTGCATTTTCTTTCCATTTTGAAATGGAAGCTGCAGCTTATTTGTGCATCTCACCATGCCTAAGACATGGTGACGTGTTATCTCTTTCATACGTGAAAGAAAAACTCAGAATAAATAGTGTTTTGTGCAAAGCCATCTGAATAAGGATCTCCAAATGTAGTTGCAGTTTAATGCAAATCAGTAACAATAGAAAAGAAAAAGAAACCATATTGTAAAATCTGAGAAAATAATGGGTCTTTCTCTGGATTTTTCTTTTGAAAGGTACAGACAGGATTTGGACGGATGGGCAGCCATTTCTGGGGATTTCAAACACATGATGTAGTCCCTGATATTGTTACTTTGGCAAAAGGAATTGGTAATGGTTTCCCAATGGCAGCTGTTGTTACAACAAAAGGTATAAGTGTTCTGTTCTGCTTAGATTTTTAAATAAATTTAATAGAGCTGTTACAACATATGCTATGCACAATTGCCTAGTGGAGAGATGTTTGTCCAAACAGCTGAGCTTTAGTAACAGTCTTTGTCTCAATCTATCTTTTGACAAATGAATTGGATTATCATTACTCACTTGTTTTACCAAGTGCTGTGCTGTACCAGTGCAAAGCTTTATTTAGAAGCAGGGATGACATTGTGAGTCATTAGCAGAGTTGATAATAGGTCGTAGAAATCCTCACTGAATTCAGTTTTACATATCAATGTACTGCTAGTATATAAGGCAGCATGTTAGCCAATTCTTGATTCATGCAAATTCATACAAAACTTGATTCATACAAATGACTGGCTGAATCTAGTGAAGAACATTTGTAGATGTCAGTTTAAGGGGACAACTGACAGCATATGTTAGAAGTGTGTCTGTTTTTAGCATCTGCTAGACACTATAATTTTTAGAAATAGTCATATGTTCCACAGACTGCTTGCAGGAAAAAAAATATTCCTGTTGGGTTGTCTGCAGTAGAGTCAGGGTTGAAGCACAGCAAATTTAACTTAACAGTTAAGTTAAAGCAGATAAGTACTGTTAAGGCAACTCTAAGAGTAATCAGTGTTCTTTTTCTTTTAGAGATTGCAAGTTCCTTGGCTCAAAACCTTCACTTTAATACATTTGGAGGAAACCCTTTGGCCTGCGCAGTTGGATCTGCAGTTCTTGATGTAGGGAGAATGTTATATAAATTTATAAGTTCTACACTTTTTTCTTCTATCAAAATATGAAAATGTGTACATTTATTCTTACTATAAAATTACATGTGGGCAATTACTTAAATAACTGTATAAAATGCATAAACATGTGCATGTATTAATGCATGCATGGCCAATGTGCGCTGTGTTCCTGATTAGTTCCATTGCAAAATTTTAATCCCTCTAGCAAGAATAGGAGTAATCTAATTATATTTTCAGAATTGTCTTTCTTTGTCTCCTTTTTTGACTTGACTTTGTTAATAAAAATGTAGGAAAGCACTTTCTCAAAAGTCTTAGCTAATTCTTTCATAGGACTATGCTTAACAAAACTGTTTTACCTCCACAGCTTTTACCTTATGCCTAAAAAGCCTTAATGACCAGAGAGTTAAAAACACTTAAGGTCAGAGTTCCTTTTGAAAAAAATCCCTCATGAAAAATAGAATATAAAAATCTACAACATATTTCACTTACTATCCAGCAGAAAGTCAGTCAGTGGGCAGTAAGCCACTATTTAATTTGTCTTAATCGTGTACAGTCCATTTGTCCTTGAATCTCACTTTATTACCCAGACACTGTTTCTGTTCATGTTACTTTCTGAGTGTTTTGGGGATTTTTGTAAAGTATTTTATAAGGTGGTTGAAACACCTAGTTTAACTTCTGTAATTGTATTTATTGTTTTTTTGGTGCAAATTTTCTTAATGCATATATTAGGTTCATAAAATTATTTGCGCATGGCAGTGTTGATAGCTGACTGCATGTCAGAACTTTGATTAAGGAGAGGAGAGTAAGGAACAAAAAAGAAGATTCTGACTAAAAAGCATGGTGTTTGCTGATGAATCTAATAAAAACACACAACTTGTTTCCTAAAAGTTGGCCCAGTACACATAGGTATGCCTTGTCAAATCATATTCTTCTCATTATACTGATAAAGAATTAAGATATTTCTGATAAGATTCTGAAAATAATCCTGCTGGTTAGGCATTTATCAATTATAAGTACATGTGAGCATGAATTACTGGATTTTGTTCATGAAATCGTAAGTAAAATGTGAAAAACACCACAGCAATGTTAAAACATTATATTCAATTGTACTCTGATGTCATTAGAGGATTGTAAGAGAAGAAAAATGTAAAGGATTGTAGTAGTGAAGAAACAGTCTGCAAGGAAGTGAGATAAACATAATGTATCATCAAGCTAAATAGGGATTAACCAACTGTATTGGAAGCTTTTCCTGCAACACGGTCATTGTATGTCATCTTAATTAGGCAATTGAAGAAGATGGTCTACAAAAAAACAGTGAGGATGTGGGAACATATATGCTACTGGAGCTGGCTAAACTGCGGGATAAATTCGAGATTGTTGGAGATGTCCGTGGCAAGGGACTTATGATTGGAGTAGAAATGGTGACGGATAAGGTCAGTGATTTATTTTATTCCTTTCAATTTACAGTGCCATTGTAAGTTTTACCACATTTTACTTCTGTTGAAATAATAGTAAGATTTTCTATTAAGAAACAGATAATGGAGTAAACGTTGCTCTGGCTAAAAATGAGTTAGAAGACACTAGCATTTCAAATGTTTCACAAGCTTTGAGTAAATAGTGACTTCAATACCTTAATTACACAGAATCACAGAATCACAGAAC